GAGTGTTTGCTTTAGTGGTGTGTAAGAACTTTAAAATGCTAACAATGCATTTTAAACTGTTTATCATCTATGTGTGTGAAAACTGCATGTTGGACGCAAAAACAATGCAGAAACAGTGTTGAGAATTGACCATTATTAATAGAGGCTTGAATCTCTTGGGCGAAGAGATATAATCCCTCCACCTGGTCCTAGGTCTACCCCTTGGTCTCTTCCCAGCTGGACGTGCCTGGAACACCTCCCTAGGGAAGCGCCCAGGTGGCATCCTAACTAGGTGCCCCGAACCACCTCAACTGGCTCCTTTCGACGCGAAGGAGGAGCGGTTCAACTCCGAGTCCCTCCCGGATGACCGAACTTCTCACCTTATCCCTAAGGGAGACACCAGCCACCCTGCGGAGAAAACCCATCTCGGCCGCTTGTATCCGCGATCTCGTTCTTTGGGTCATGACCCATCCTTCATGACCATAGGTGAGGGTAGGAACGAAAATGGCCCGGCAGACAGAGAGCTTTGCCTTCTGGTTCAGCTCCCTTTTCGTCACAACGGTGCGGTAAAGCGACTGCAGCACCGCTGCCGCTGCTCCGATTCTCCAGCCCATCTCACGCTCCATTACGATTATCAGTTTTTTCATTATTTATTTCATAATTTAAAAAAAGGTCAGGTCATTAGCATTGTGTCCTTTTTTAGTGCTAATAGGAAACATTGAATTTCAGTCAATAATTGATCACATGAAAAATACAAATTAAGTTTACCATTGCTTAGAGATAGACGGAATACATAAAAAAGAACAAAACAAATATCCAAGTGGATGTCAAACATTCCGAGATTAGCTAGCATTAATAAATTATTTGCAAACTTTAGTCATGAAATATATTTTTATCCTAAAACACAGAAAATATTTCATCATTGTTTTTTCACGTGGTTGCATCTGAATAACACTGCTACCTGTGTGGCCTTTATGTAATTCCTTTGCTGATTATAAACCTCACTTATTGTGCAGGGCGCATGCATTATCATTACGGCAATATGTATATTTCCTATATAATACCAAGAGAGTAGACGCTGAGATAATGACAAGGTAGAAAACGGGAGCAATCAAATATCATTTGTATTTTTTTAAGCATGTCAGACAGGAAGAGAATCATTTCCTATCCCTTGTGTATTCTCTTAATTTGTTCTTTCCACTTTTTTTAATGGAAAGTTAAACCATAATTTCCTTTTTTCTGTTTCCCGTCCATTTTCTCAATCTGACTGACCTTCATTTTACCTTAATTTGCTACCTTGCAGCTACGTTCCCCATCTCAAACCCCACCACTCACCTCTAATTAAGCATGAATGGAAATCATGTCATGTCCAGGCAGTGTAAAACAAAATGAAGAATGAGCATTTGTTTTTCCCTGGCCACTGCAGTGCATCAGGTTCATTCAGTGTCTTCCAAACCCCATTAGCCAGTAGAGCCATGTCAAACAGGGGCAAAGTCGATAAGCACAGCCGGAAAAATAGCATGCCAGCCAACTGCGCTCAATGCTGCAACTCTGTAGTTATGGGTGCTTCAGAATAAAGGCCCCATAGTCCTCAATAGCTGCTCTCCAGCTAGCGGGACAGTGCAGAGATAAGCCTGGCAAGTAAGGAAAATAAGAGATGAAGTGTAGTGTGAAGGCAGAGGTTATCACAGGTGGGACACTGAAGGTGGGATGAGTTACAACTGCAGAACAGAACTGCATTTTACCGAACCACCTGGCCTTGTTAAATTCTTGGTAATTAGAAGCTTTAATACACAGTTTCATTGATTGCACATTGCTGAATAGACCAAACTCCGCTCTGAATAGTCTTTTTTTCCAGTAGTCATGCAGACACCATCCATGCAAGCGTTAAACCAATCAGGAACACATGTGCAGCATATTCACACCAGATGTTCCGTTAGGGTTTATGACCTCTCCATGCCTCAGCAGTGTGTCTTTAAGGTCTGTAGGCACAGTCAAAGCAGGTGGTCTTAATCCCAAGACCCTTTCCCTTTGAATCAGGAGGATGGTGTTCATGCTGACAGAAGAAGAAAGCCCCTGAGAAGCAGCTCTTTTTTGAGACGACTTAGTTGGAATCTTTTACCGCAGTGCTATTTTAGGCTGAGAGATCACGCTAGGTACCTTCGGAGAGAGCCTCAGAGGGCTCAGTAGTGTCATCTCCCTCTTAAAACTAACCAATTAAGCCACTTTATTCACTGGCTGAACAGAGAATAACGCTTAACTAAATTGTTTTACATTTTAACTACTATCAAGCTAAAGAATAAAAATGGTCAAAGGTTACTATACAAATTCTGCACAGCCCTATTTCACAATGTTTTTGTGTACAGTATAATGGGAAAAAAACGAATTGTACTGACAACACCGGCAATTATGCACCGTCATTGTAAGTGTCTGAAAACAACATATTAGAGATTTTGCTAGAGGATTAGGCTTTAAACACCTTGTCTAAATCAGCGAAATATTCAGCCTTGACATCGAAACTCTTTCAGATGCTTTCCGTCACTAAGGAGCCAGACTTGGTTAGAAACCATAACAAACGACTTGATCAAGTGAAATATAAATATATAGGTTTTATTTCACTTCTTTCTATAGTTTTTTCAGACACTTATACAAATCTGAGTCCTTGGCAAGAACTAACAATTTGAGTGGAAGTTCATTGATGGTGCATTAATGCCTGGAAGGGTTACGTTGCAGTCTGTTTCACAGATGGCAACAGCAGCGTTCTTGCTCAATACTAGACCAATAAAAAGTCACTTAGACACAAATGTTGGGCAAATAGCATCTGCGTTGACCTGAGCTTCTCTTTAAAGGACTATACAGTACCATCTATTCTCATGCAGTTGTCAGCAGGGACTGTTTCTCCTTATGTTCTGTCGCACTTTTTTATGTGCATGTTTATGTTAACAGATGTAACATAAACCAGACTTTTGAAATCAGTCTAAGACAAGACTGGGAGTATCCAAGGATACAGTTGCAAGAAAAAGTATGTGAACCCTTTGGATTCTCCACACATACAGTAGCGTTGTGTGTTCCTTCCAAGCAACTCAACTTTGGTTTCATCTGTCCACAGAATATTTTGCCAGTAGTGCTGTGGAACATCCAGGTGCTCTTTTGCAAACTTCAAACGTGCAGCAATGTTTTTTCTGGACAGCAGTGGCTTCCTCCGTGGTGTCCTCCCATGAACTCCATTCTTGTTCAGTGTTTTACGTATCGTAGATTCGTCAACAGAGATGTTAGCATGTGCCAGAGATTTCTTTAAGTCTCTAGCTGACACTCTAGGATTCTTCTTCACCTCATTGAGCATTCTGCGCTGTGCTCTTGCAGTCATCTTTACAGGACGGCCACTCCTAGGGAGAGCAGCAACAGTGCTGAACTTTCTCCATTTATAGACAATTTGTCTTACCGTGGACTGATGAACATCAAGGCTTTTAGAGATACTTTTGTAACCCTTTCCAGCTTTATGCAGGTCAACAATTCTTAATCGTAGGTCTTCTGAGAGCTCTTTTGTGCGAGGCATGGTTCACATCTGGCAATGCTTCTTAAGAATAGCACATTCAAAACTGGTGTGTATTTTTTATAGGGCAGGGCAGCTTTAACCAACACCTCCAATCTCGTCTCATTGATTGGACTCCAGGTTGGCTGACTCCTGACTCCAACTAGCTCTTGAAAAGTCTTTAGCCTAGGGGTTCACTTTTTCCACCCTGCACTGTGAATGTTTACATGGTGTGTTCAATAAAAACATGAAAACATATAATTGTTTGTGTGGTATTAGTTTAAGCAGACTGTGTTTGTCTATTGTTGTGACATAGATGAAGATCAGAACACATTTTATGACCAACTTATGCAGAAATCCAGGTCATTCCAAAGGGTTCACATACTTTTTCTTGCAACTGTATACCCACTAATTTTCATCTAGTTTTCACTCATAGCCAAACATGTCTGTAGGATGTATCCTCTTGGGAACATGTATGTCTGTATATATCACAGACATGCTGCTATCATGATAAAGTTACGGTATGAATCTTTTACTACTTCATTGGCTGAAATAGGCAAACTTTGCTCTATTTAATAGGTGTTATCTTATGGGTTTCAGCACTACAAAGACCAGCTGTAGTGCCTGGAAAAAAAACATGAATGAATGAACCCATCACATGTGTTTTCAGTCTGAAACCCATCTGCTCCAATCTCCCACTGCCACACTTTAAAGACCCCTCTGGGGACAGGCTTCAAAACGTACAGGATTTTAAAACCTCAGTTTCAAAACCAGCCAGGAAACAGACAGAAAGTTTCTCCTCAGCTATTTGTTTTAAAGTTGGTTCTGTTACGAGGGAGAGATTTCTCATGTCAATTTTGTTCTCCCTTTACCTGGCCGCACTTTTATCTTCCACCCCACTTCCTGTTAGCTTTTCTCTGTTTGTGTTATCCCTCCACACTTTCTTCTCCCACCCTGGCTTCATCCTGTCTTTACCTTTGCAGTGGGATCAAACAGAGGAGCTTACATCATATCAGGGATGGGAGCTTTGCCTTCCGCCATCCATTATACCCAAGTAGTGCTGGCTGCAGGTGTTGTCTCTTTTCTCATGTTTCTTTCATATTTTGGCTTTCAGTCTCCATTAATCCCCTTCGTCCTTCACCCATCTTTCTGACATTAACTCCATTTCCTACACCATACTCATTATCTGCCCATTACATCTGCTCTATCCCCTGCCGTTACACCATCACCCCTGTCTCCTTTCCTTGATCCACCAACTATCCATTTCCACTTTTTATTTTCTTTGCCAACTTTTCCTGTTTTATGTCCTCACACCTCTTCCTTCTCTCAACTAAAGCCCACTTTGTGTTTTTCCTCCTCGTGTCTACTTTCTTGTACCACCAAGTGTGGCAGCCACCAACACACTGACTGAAGTGGCTAACATCAATAGCTAACATCAGTCTCAGCCTGTTGGCCCTGTTTCTTCATCCCTATCTTTTTTCTCTTCCAGGAATGGGTGACTGCCACTGACCTGCTCATCTCTTTGGACAGGCTTAACACCTTTGGAGATGAGTTCTTCAAGGACGCTAAAGTGTTGCGCTCGTACTTCTATGCCATCTCTGACTTCTCTGTGGGTGGCAGGTAAGAGAGGACAGAAAAGGCTGCATAGCCAACACACACTTTCTTGAATGTTCAAAGTTTGTCTCTTTTAACCTTGGATTGTCGGATGAAATTGAAGTTGAGCCAAACAACAAAAGAAAACTCAAAGGCTGGTGGTGTATATATTGTTGTGCCATGGTTCTTCTATTTATTGATCAAATCATTTATCATTTGAGCACACAGCCCTATCTATTACTAAATAAATGTATGTAATGCTAGAGTTTTGGAGGAAACACAACTGCTGCAGGAATACAAGGCATACGATGCAAACATTTTAATGAGCCCAATGTTAATGTCTTTTATCTCACATATTGTTCAAGTATGCCTCATAAAGCAATTGGTTATGGTTAGGTAACGATTATAGTTTTGGTTAAGTTTTTTCAAATTTGGCATGTCTGGTCTCAAGGATTGTCAGTATTAAATAAATACCACAATCTTCTTTATTTAAATATCATTATTATAAACATTTTACATGAAACTACACCTAATGTTATAACGTTTTTTTCTAAATCAACTTGCCTACAGGAGCAATTTGGGATTAAGTATTTTGCCCATGGGAACTTGGACATGTAGACTGCAGCGGCTGGGGATCGAACCAATGACCCTCTTATTGGTTGACCTTTAACCCCTTATCCAACCTTGCAGTATACAGGTTTGCAGATATGCCTGAAATAATAAATCCTTCTCCTTTCAGGAGACTGGAACTTTGTAACCCAAGTAATCTGTTTCGTCACAAAGCAAGAAAAACAATCAACAACTTTTCCTAAAAATAGGTACAGTATGCAAAAAACCTGCTGTCCGTCAAAATACAATTAGATGTGAATATATATTATCCTGCTTCCTCCTTCCACTTCTTTTGGTTTATTACTCAAAGTAATGAGAGAAGACGGGGTGCCAAGGATCAGGCTGCACCTTGGCATCTCACATATAAGTGGACAATTAAATAGTCGAGATGAAGCCTTCACACTGAATATAAATCTGATCTGACACATGTCATAAACACTTAGGATCACTGCAGTGACAGGACAAGTTACCCACCAGTGCCACAGCACCTGGGGGAGAGACCCACATGACAACACGTTAGCCTTGTGCTTTCTGAATGAGTAAACAAGGCTTTACACCTCAGTGCTACACCTCGCCAAGTCCCGCTCACAGAAGCTGTGAAAGACTCCTCGTCATTAATACAGAATATCAATGCAGCCATAACCCAAGGTGGACTGCTGTCAGAAGAGATGGGCTAGAGTTCAAGTGGAGACAATCCATATAAATGAGGAATGCTGGCAATGCATTTGCTTTTAAATATATTTGTATTGGCATTTCTTTATTTTTCAGCAAAAGACATTACCGAAATGTATAACCCCCCAAAGAAGAAGAAATACAAATAAATGAATACAATACAGTTACAATTACAAAAAAAGTACTTAAATTAATAACGTAAACAAATATACATTGAACAATAATTCAAAAGAGAAAACTGAAATAACATAAATGTAAAAAAATGATGTAATAGAATGTGAAATTGTCAAAAGGTTAAAACAGTTACATCATATCCAATCATATCTTGCCTATTAATTGACAAGGTCGTTTCTAGTTCCGTTCCAAACAATATATTTCCCCCATAATTTATAGAAGGTATTAGACTTTCCCTTCATAGCATAGGTTGATTTCTCTAAGGCCAGACAATGAGAGAAGTTTTTTGGTAATGCATATTTTCATTCTAACATACAGACTTAATGTCTTTTGAACTTCACATATGCTGCCTGCTCATGTCACCTCCCTCCCTTGATATTCAGTCAGAGTGATCACAGAGCAGCTCACGTCTCCTCCAGCAGAAGATCTGATATGTGGATTGGAAGCACTTTGGAGTGACTGGGTTGTTGTCGTCTCAGCGACAACAGAAATAACTGGGTCTGAGCCTCAGGCAAGCATGCGTCTGGATCCTCGACAGCTGGCTACATTTGACAGAGCCTGCCACTCAGCGACAAGTCCCCATCCCCTATCACAGCCACTTGACAAAACCCGACGACAGTGCCAGGAAGTATTACACACAGGAGGGCGTAGCTGCCACCGCGCTTCACTGGAAATAATAGGCTTTCCAAATGCAGGGAGAAGAAAAGGCAGCAGATATTAGCTATCTGGTTTGGAAAATGTACTTATTAAATCATGTTTATCTCATGATTATTTGTTCAATTTTGATCATTAAAAACATACATATATTTAAAGATACACACACATTAAAAAAAGTGTATTTATATAGTCAAACGTCACAAAACTACAGATTAACAAACATGTATGACAGTTTTAAATGATGAATTAAATTACAATAAAAACAATGAAAAGACAAGATAGAACATGAAATACAAATAAAATAGATCAAATGAAATGAGATGAATCACAACAGAAAGACAATAAAAATACAATAAGAACTATCAAGTTCTTCAGCACACCCTAACAGTTTGGATAATGTCTGCCTCCCTAATAAAAATAAATCTAAACATAGGAGTTCACATAGATAAACATTAACTGTTACTATTACACAGTGTATAGCATTGAGTGGAGTTTTGAATAGTAATGTTTCTGAATGGAAATGAACACCCCACCTCATCTGAAGCCATATTATAACTGTGAAAGATGATACCATGAAATCCAATTTACCATGGAAATCCCTTCTCACTTTCCCCTCTCCACTGACTGTGTGTGTTTCTACTCAGTCAGTGAGGAGAGTCAGAGACAGAGCAAAGTTGTTCTTCATCCTTTCAACATAACTATCTGTCTGTGTTTCCCTCAGATGTAAGTGTAACGGTCACGCCAGCGAGTGTTTTGAGGGGGAACACGGGGGGCTGGTGTGTGCCTGCCAGCATCACACGGCGGGAGATGACTGCCAGAGATGTCACCCCTTTTACCAGGACAGACCCTGGGCCAGGGCCACGGGGGACTATGCCAACGAGTGTCTGAGTGAGTAGCTGCTTCTGGACCTCCGACACACACACAGCGGGGAGAACCTCTCGTGCAGCTTCTGCATTTGCTGCATGAGAGAGTAGATACTATACAACAGCATGGCAACGGTTTCATAGCAATTGAAAGGCAGGGTTCTTATAATGCTGTAAATTGAATGCTTTGTTATTATGTTGAACAGAGCTTCAACAGCATTTGTTGCACAATCTACCAAAACTAAAAAGGTATCTCAGTAACTCTGCCTTTGAAAAAAAGTTCACTAAACACACACTGTGAGTTGAGTGTAAGGCAAAGCACTTTCAATTGCCTTGTGTTAATAGGTGCTATATAAATGAACTTGCCTTGCCTACAGTATAAGCCATTGTATTAGTAGGCCTATCTGTAGAGAATGTCAGTTTCAATAAGAACCGTACTTATAATTTGCTTGGAAGTGTTTGTGTGCTTCCGCTCCCTGCAGGCATACTCGGCAAGCCAAACAGGGCTGTTTTTCTCCTATATGCATGCTGCAGATAAAAGTGACTAATGGCACATAATAAGGCGCTAAAACACTTCAGCCAACAGTGATGAGTTGCACCTATACGAATGAAGATAATGACATTTCAACTTTTTTGCTCGCATCTTGTTAATTGCAGCTGCGGCACCTTAGAGCTTCACTCTTTCACTTGGTACTTTTCACAATAAAAGCCCTATATATACAGTACACTGCTATGTGTTTTGTCTGAGGGAACTTTAATTGACACAGAGCCTTTCGCTTACTCAACTAAATAATTGACAGTACATTTCGCACTTATCTCTGCTAGGCTGCTACCTGTTATAGGCAGCAGTGTGTCATGTGGATGTGAACGTGTAAAAACCTGTTCTTAATTCAAAGTTGTTCTATTCCTTGTTGGAACTTAACTTGTTCAAACCATAGACTGTATGGTTCAAACACAATACGTTACAATAATGAACTCCTGTTGCATTATGGCTTCGTGTCCATCCTCTACTGTCTTGCATATTTACAAACAAAGTAATGCAAATAATTCTGAATCAAAGTGAATTAGCTGAAGTCTATAAGTACTGGCTCCTTCGTATGCACATAATGTTTGCAGGCATCCCCACTTCATAGCGTCTTTATATATGAATTAGTGTTATTATTGTTATTATCAGCTTTAGCTCATCACACTGCATGTTAACTGAATGCTTCTGGGGAGCAATTGTATTTGGGCTAAAACCCATAAAAGAGTGTTTTGATTTTGTATTGTTTCTGAATTCCATTAAGCAGCAAGCTTGTTTTAATTACTATTCGTGGTTCCAAGCAGATGGCGTCTTGAATGAGAACTGCACCCAACTTAATCAATGTGGTAAATTAATAAATGAACACAAACCATGTAAAGGAGAGACAGAATGTGGAAACGTAATAATAAATGCTCAATGTAATTGCACATCTCTTCCCTGCACAAAACTCATTTTGTTTCCCCACCAACATTTTATATTTCCATTTTTTACAACAGCCATGATAATATTTTCTCTCCCTGACATAGATGTATGTGCATTTGATTTGCATCCGTGAAAGGAAATACAATAAATGAAACAAGTAGTAAGATATTAAAGTTGTTTTTATGTTTCAAGGGTTAGGGTCAATCTTATATCATCCATTGTGGGCCAAGGTCAGAAAGGTTTTCGATTACTAAAATCTCAACAAAAAAAAAACATTTTGGACAGTTTAAAGAATCTGCTAACAAAGGATAACAATATTTCAATATCACCTAAACAACTAGAGTATAAATATGAATTAACAGTACTTTTTTTTGTACACAAGTCGTTCATAAAATGATCTAATAATATACCTACAGTAGTTTGGCATTTTATATTGGGGAAAATAAGCCTTTCATGTTTCTGTACCTTAAGACGATGTATTGCTTGGTATGCTGTAAAAATTGACTACAGTTGCTGTTATTTTGTCCACGTTTTACTACAGAGGGGTGAAAGTGTCATGATGGTCCCGCCCCCACCGCTGCTAGTTATGGGAGAGATGTCTTCATGCTAACAAATGCAGGCAGAGCTATCAGAGGTCTGAGGTGTGAAACATGTGTTGGCTGAGACTTTTTTGATACCTCATGTTAAGTTTGGGGTTCCAGCAGCGGCACCATTTGAAGTGTGAGACTTTTTCTGCTGAATGTAATTTTAGACGATTGTGAAATAAGGTGGAAGGGGTGAGGCGCTCTTTCAGAAGCCGGCTGGATTGAATAAAAGGAACACGACCTTTGGCTTTGCAGGAACTGTTAAAAAGCAGAAAATGAAAAGTCTTGCATGGCTTTATTTTTAGCGCATGACTCAAATTGCTAATCTTCAATACATTTGACATGTGTGCCACTCTGTGCACGTGTTTGCTTTGTATTGCTGTTTGCATAGTGCATCCATCTGCCATCGTTTACTGTAGCACTTCGAATGCATGTTTGGTTATGAATGGATTTGGACCTAAAATAATCTATAAAAGCCATTTAGATTAACAAAGCACCAGGGGAAATGATTGTGTTTCACATACGTTGTGTATTTAACAATGACATATAAAACTATTGCACAATAAGCTGAAGAATATCAGTGGCTAGAAGTCGGGAGCTTAAAGTTATACATGCTAAATAGTGATCTTTCTAGTTTTGATGATCACTGTTCTTTTTATAATAATTTAAATGTTTTATTTAATGGTTTATTTGGCAGGGACAACGCACAGTAATGAACACTTAAAACATTCAAATGTATCAAGCGTAACAGTTCCAGATTTAGCTTTGAGCTCATTTCCATCCTCAGTCCCTCACATAAAACATTTAAGGAAATTACATTTTACAAACATAGAAAAAACAAAATACATGATATGCAAAAAGTGCAAAAGAGCAAGAGCAGCACACACGAGTATTTATGACATGGTAATACAATATAGCAGCTACGACATATAAAGTGCAAGAGAAGATACAAGAGCTACATAAAGTGCAAGAGGAGATACCCCTGTGTTAAAGTGCATTTAGCGGTGATCGCACGTCTGTTTGTTTCTTAACCATTCTTTGAGTTGACCTTTGAACCTATTGAGAGTGGGACAATCCCGTATCTCAGTTGGGAGGCTATTCCAGAAAGAGCTGCCTTTAACGGAGAGGACATTTTGTCCAAAAGTGGTCCGTCTGCGGTGGACCTCACAGTCTCCTCTGGTTTCTGACCTAGTGCAGCGTCCAGTGTGTTTTCTGTGGATGAATTCCCCTAAGGAGGGGGGGGGGGGGGGGGGCAGTCCATGTAAACATTTATAAATAAAACACATTATTTTAAAAGACTTAAAATTGTAAAAACTTAAGAAATTGTGTTTTTCTAGGATGGTTCAGTGGTGGTATGAATGTGGCTCTCTGTCAAAAACCTTGATAGCTCTCTTGTACAGCCGTTCTATGGGTTTCAGGTTTGTGGCACAAGCAAACGACCAGTTTGTCAAATATATCATATTTCTTCTTGTAACTTCTGACACTGTTTGTCTGTATGTACGTGAATTCACTGCAGAAATATTATTCTTATAAAGCAATCCTTGCATTAGGTATTTAACAGTTATCAGAGATCAGAAGACATTCAGTGATTAGAAGGAGCTTTAAGTTCTACATGCTAAATAGTGATCTTTGTTTTTTCTTTTTCTTTTAATAATTGTCCTTGCAAAATATTGATCATTTCTGACACCGTTTGTATTTATTTATTGCATTCACTGTGGTATTTAAAAACAATCTTCCCAAACAAAAACAACACTGTCATTTCCAGCTTATGTAAATATCATTTGCATATTTTGTAAAATGTGAGAATATAGTCTGTATATCTTTTTTGACATGCCAATATAGTACATAGAACAGCTAGAATGATCCTAACTGTAATTCAGGTGTTATATCAGGCAGTAGTTTAAAAGCTGAAGCACAGTGCAGCAGCAGATCCAGATATAGTTATGTATATGGCACGCTCATGCAAATAGAGGTAGCAGCCTATTGACAAATGCTTTACAACATCGCCTCCAATTATTGAGGCACAAAGGAGACATGTTGAAAGGTGGTGGTAAGTCCAAACACGTGCGGTGCAATTATTTCATCTTTTTACAGTGAGCGGTATCGCTGCTTATTGCAATTTCATACAAATCTGCCCAAAATGTCAAGTGTCTCTTTCAAGCAGCATTTGAGCTAATAATCTTTTAGCAGAGGGAGGATAAACTATAACAAGATCATGACCTTTTGTGGCTCAGAAAACCGTGCAATCCAAGCATTAGAAAACAATTGTGATAAAATCTGAACTTTAGAAAATAAACACAAAGTGGCATACAGTTAATAGACTCCCTAATGTCTGCACTGCAGTCTTTTTGCTTCCTTACCTCTTCAACTGTAAATCCTCTTTGGCACCGCATGCAGTACACCTAACTGAGAGGCTTTGCAATGTACTACTCAAATGTGTGGTTATATAATATCATATAAAGACATTCTGGAAAATCCAATTGCAGCACACTGTTTATAAAACGTGTCTCTTAGTCAGTGTGGTTTTTAAGTATGCAAATAATTTGAATCAAGCATCACATTTTCTAAAGATCAAATAATGTAGTGTTAGGTGACCGGCAATACACATCAACCAGATTGCCAGGAATAGTAGCAAGCACATTCATTCAAACATATTAAAGTAACCCCATTGTGACCCTTGATGGAAAGTGTCAGTGTAATGCTTTGGTCAATTAGGCAAATTAGCATTGTCCTCCCACACGCTATAACACAATGTGCTCTAGTAATGCAGTATGGTTGCTTCAGTTTTTGATTCTGTATTTATATAGAGAAAAAAACTCATCTCATTATCAAAGTAATATACATCCTGCCCACTGAGCACAGCCGCATGTCAATTGTGCTTATTGTATTTTAAGATAGCAGACTGCATGAGACTTCTTTTAAAAGGCAAAAAGATGAACAGCAGTGAATACCTTGTGTGATTATTACAGCTATCTCCGCTATTGTTATTGTGTGAAT